GCCCGGAGTGATAAGCTGTTCACGCTGTTTACACAGTTTAGGATGGTAATTTTGAACGGCTAATGCCTCGGTGAATTACAGATCCTTCGTGTTGTTTGTGTTGTAGAGGATTCTGAATGCATCGCGCAGCATTACACAGTGTTTCATTTCGACCAGATGTTGTGTGATCGACGGACTGAGTTTACTACGGGTCACTGGTGACCATATATAAATGATCAGATAAACTGCAAGTGTACGGATGCAGCGAAACGATCCAGAATAGATTGTGCAAACCCGTGTTTTTGGCTTCTCTGTTGAAATAGGGATTTAGTTCTGGAACATTTAAGCTCGACCGTATGGATCATTGATTTTGGAATTTCATTCAACTGAGTCTCCTTAAAAGTGGCTAATACTTCCATTCGGAGAACCCTTACAACTTGGGAGGATCATTAGTTGTTCTATGAGCTTTAATCGGTGAATCAATAATAAACTTATTTTGAATGTTCGAACCGAGACTCATGTTTAGTAACATTAGTTAAGAAGGGGATCGATATGAAAGAATCACATGAGTACAATGGAAATACAAGACAAACTATGTGCATAAACAATGGTTTACATACATATGTTACATATCACGGAAATAAAACAACGAAAACATCGTGTCCACCTGGAATACGGGGCGTGTGTTTGTGTGGAGGGGGAGGAGAATCAGGTAGGATTTGTATACAAAATAGGACCATTTTAAATCATGTCAATTACTAGGTGGGCGGGATATCACACAGCAGGGTTATTGAAGTTTGACCACATCCGTGATCATTGTGCTTAGACTCTAATCCAGTCACTAATTTAAGCTCCAAATCGATCTGATAATGACGGTTGCACAATGTGACATTATTGTCGCCCAATAAAATGAAAATAACTCTCGTGGATTTCATATTCCTTCGATAAAAGCTCGAAAAGAAGGCTGGAATAAAACCCAAAATAAATGCGTCATTCGGTAGCAATAAGATGTGATGTAAAAAGAAAATATAACTGTTGTGTTTCGACTAGCCGTACGAATGACACGAACTACTCTTGCTTAACCCCACACGATAACGCGAGGAGGGAAAACAGCTTGAGACTACAGTCAGTGTGTATTCGTTCAGTTAGATTTCAATACGCAAAAATATAGAGCACTATCACGTATACGAGAAGACTGCCCGAGATGTCCCAGTCGGATTGTGGCCTTGGCACATCGATTGATCGATCCAATCGATCCAATCGATCCAGTCGGGCTCAGCTTGTCTGGAGCGTTGTAAGCGTGCGTGTGGCCTGACTCGGATGCGTGTGTGATCTGAAGGGTTGTTTGGGCTCCGTGCTAACACCTCCCCTTTTGAGCTCGACGACTTGTTGTACGACCGTAAGCTCGGGTTGATTTGGAACGGCTTTGTTGCTGTGCGCGTGTGACCCGTTGGTCGTCGAGGTTGCAGGATTTCTTTGGCCTTTACTGAGGGTGCTGGTTCTTGTGGCTCGCGGTTGGGAACTGACATGGCGAATGTGTCCATTAATATATCCAGCGACAAATTTGGTTTGGGGTTTGGTTCATCATTGCAAGCTGTCGGCTTTAGTTGGTTGGCGTGCCGCACCCACACTTAAGAGCCAACTAAGATTTCGTAGATGACCTTTGCCCGGTGTCGATATACTCGACCAAGTGTCCACCTTTCTTCGTTATTCCGGTAGTCCCTCGCAAAACCGTTTTGGCTCCTCACAAACGATCGGTCCCGCGTACCATGGCGGCGGTTGAACTGCAGCTCCATTGCTGTAGAGTAAGCGTTTTCCAAGGGTGTTTTGCTCTGATGCTCCGGGAGGATTACATTGAATTGTTTACGAATTTTTCTTCCAAACATTGCCTCGGCCGGAGACGCACCGTTCGAGACATTGGGATTTGGTGTTGCCCTGTAGTTTAATAGAAATATTTCCAGGACTTCTCCTGTGGTACCCTCCCCTTTGGATTTCTGAAGTGCTCGCTTGAAGGTGTCCACGAAACGTTCGGCTTGACCGTTTGACTGTGGGTGGTAAGGTGGCGCACGGATGTGCTTTATGCCAGATTTTTCGCAGAACGCAGAGAAAACAGCTGATGTGAATTGATCGCCATTGTCACTCACCAGCGTCTCTGGAGATCCAAACCTTCTGAACAGGCTACGGAAGACATTGATGGTGGCTCCGGTGTTTGAACGTTCCATTAGGAATATTTCTGGCCATTTTGTGTGGGCTTCAACCACGACGAGGAAATGGTACCCGTTGAGCGGTCTGGCAAAATCAACGGGATTATGGGGCTACCAGTTTTGACCACTGCTGGAGGTTGGTCTTGACAGATGCCTTGGCTGCTTGGGCACATTTGAGGCAGGAGAGTCCAAGCTCTTCGATGTGCTGGTCTATGTTAGGCCAAAAGATACATCTTCGAGCGAGGACCTTCATGCGGTTGATATCTGGGTGGCCAGCATGAAATTGTCGTAGAACTCTGCGTTGCAGGGCCTGTGGGATGACGACGCGTAGCCCAGCGCTGCAGTCGGTTAGCTGAGTAAACCAGAACACCTTTGTTCGAACCGAAGATCGCGACTAACGGTTTGTGAGCGGTCAAGAGTGTGAAGTAGCGACCATATAGCATCTAATGGAACTGTTTTACGGTAAAGAAAATAGCAAGGGCCTCTTTTCAATTTGCCTGAAGTTACGTTCGGCTAGCCTCAGGGATCGCACAGCGTGTGCAATGGCTTTTTCTCGTCCATCTGAGAACACATGCGAGATGATGGAACCAATACCATGGTTTGACGTATCAGCAGCCACTATAATTTTGAGTTCCGGATTGAAATGAGTCAGCAGTATGTTGGAGCGCAACATTGTTTTGGCACCTTCAAAAGATCGCATCGCATGCTGAGGTCCAGCCCCACTTTGTATTATTTTTCAGCAGTTCGTTCAGAGGAGCGCGCAGGCGGTGCATATCTGGCAGAAAGGCCGAGTAATGGCTCATGAGTCCTAAAAGGACCTTAACGAACTGACATCGCGTTGCGGAGGCATTTTATCGATGGCCGCAATGTTTGGGGGATCTGGGCGACGACCATGTCTGTCGATGATGAATCTAAGGTATTTCATAGAAGGCATGAAGAATTTACACTTCTCCAAACGTAACTGAAACCCGAATTCCTAGCTCCGTGTCAGAACACTGTCCGATCGTCGTGAGAGTTCGGTGGATGCCTTGTCAGTCACGATTATATCGTCCAGATAGGCAGCAGCACCGTCAATACCCGTGGGCGTAGTGTCCATGACCTATTGAAA